CGCGAAACTCCCCCGTACTATACCCAAAACCGATTTTGGAGGGGGGGGGGCGGCCTTAAGAGAAAAAAAACAATAATATCATTCATGGTTTGATTAATTTTTCCGACTTTTATTTGCGTTTCATGCGAGCTGTGACTTGCATTTCATTCCATTAGATACCTTGTCTCATATGTTCTATATATTTCTTCGATTCTTGCAAAAGAACCTTTTTTCTCTATTACTAATAAGAACAAAAAAAAGACCATTCGCATCTTCTGTTAGATCTTTTTTCTCACTATTTATCTAGTTGTCATGCTGATAATGCGAATGAAATGAGGAAAAACCGGCTGTGAGTGTGGGTGTAAGTTTTTACATACAGAAGACCTGGACCCATATTCACATCCACACCCTCTTCCAATATGTGATTATTTATTTTATTAGTTGATTTGACATTGTACTTTGAAGTTTCTATGCACTACAATCGTTCTAATTCTAAGAAGCAAAAATTAAAAACTATAGTTTTCAAAGGTCTTTTGACATAGTTGGCTTCGGTAAATGTTGAGCATAGCCACTAGTGGCAAATTCCTGCGGATAAAATTTGTTCCAAGCATTGGTTAAAGCTTGTAGATGATCAGGATGGGTTGCACCGAGTGCTGCCGGATTCAGAGCAAAGCAGACGAATATTGTACGAACACACGAACTTAAAATTGATGCCATAACTGCACTCATCAATACACTAATAATAAAGCTGATGATAGATGCAATAATAATCGTTATAATTTTCTCTGGTGAATCCGACATAAAAAAGTAGATTAAGAGACCGCCAGCTATAGAGGAAGTGAGGCCTATAGCAATATTGACAATCATCATGGTAGTTCCCACGAGCACATCGTTGATAATTGCTGTCCAACCACGCTTTTTAAACAACTCAATAAAACTTCGACCAGCTTGAACAAATGTTTGACCAGTAAGTGCTGAATAAATAAATGCCCATTCATTGAGATAACCGATAAGTTTTTCAAGTAATTGAAGAATACAATCAGCAATAGTAGCAATGATATTCTTGCGACGATCTTTACCTACACAAGAGCGTAGAGCTTTGATAATAGCCTCAAGAAGAGAACCGAGGCAGATGGTTCCAAAATTAGTAGTAAATGCTCGCCTAACACTTGCTCCAATGGTATACTGTCGACTGCCTTCACCAGTAAACCACCAATGGCCAACAGCACATGCCGTAACGAAATTAGTTATATTTCCAAAGGTTGTTGCGCCCCAATACCATGATAATAATACAAGAAATAAAATGATATAAGAAACAATACGATGTGATTGTCCCTGTTTAGAAGATGTCGAATCATCTGTAGCATTGAACCATTGAATCTCATCATTTATTCTCTTCTTTGTGCTATTGATCGATTTTGAGTTTTTATCCATAGAATATCTTGCTGTATCGGTGAATTTCTGCATTCTAGTGGTCATAGGAGGAACTGTATAGATCGGTGTGGACTTTGTGTTGATCATATTAAATTTTGTTCCATTATTTACATTCGTTGTTGTATTAGTATTAAAAATTAAAATCGTATTGTTTGAAGCACGTTGAATACCTAATACCATAAGAAACCAGAGGACGAACCATAACAATTCAACGATGAGCATGATGAAGGCGATTAATAGCAATGAAGGATGACTACGTAATACAGCACAGCCTGCTCCTAAATGGGCTTCAGCAAATGGAATTCGCTTTCGAATACAAGAAATGTAAATCAATGTGAAAAATAGAAACATTCCAGGTATAAAGCATAGAGGCCAGAATACGAAAGCTAGAGCGACAATCAACAGAACTTCTATGACGACCGTTATAATAAATGAAGCTTTGATAATTCGACCAGCACATTGTTGTAGAAGAAAGAAAGTAAGAAACGATACAAGTATGCCTAGACCTGCTGCAGTACCCAATGCAAACAGGAATATCTTAACGTTGATATCGAATGATTTTTCCGTCACTTGATTGGATGAGTTAGCCTTGATTTGATTAGATAAATTTGCCTTGAGTTGATTCCATGAATTTTCCTTGATCGATGCAATTAAGGCCGGTAAGCCTAATACTAATCCGACAATGATTACACCAATTACATGAATGTAAAAGAGGATAGCAAAGACACGATCTTTCCATCCACTGCTAAAGTCGATCTTCGGATTTTCATATGCAGGTGGAGGTTCATCTATGAGTAGCGTGGCTCCATGGGCAGGTTCAAGAGGTATATGGACGGCACCAGTATCATCTAACATAGCCTTCTTCTCCATAATATTTTCGGTCAAATCTGAAACAAATGTGCGTGAAGAAAAGATTTTTTACGTTACTACGTGTTCATCAAAGAAAACAATCCTTAAGATTATTAGTGAAGAGTGTTTTTTTCCACAATATTTGAGGAATTTCGAAAACGACTGTTGTCAGAAAAATTCATTGAAAAATCTTTGTTTTCTCAGTTGTCATGCATAAGTAACGCGAGATATTAAAGACATGTCGTGGGCTCTTCTCTGATACAATGATCCTTCAAATCTAACATATGTTTCATATTGAAATGTAGATGAGTGAAATTTTTGTTGCTGAATCAGAGACAAAGATGGATTTTTTTTCTTATCAATGTAATGTCATTTCAAAACAATGATCAAAGCAAAAAAACAAAAATCCTTAAAGATGATATATATTTGTTAAAATATCATATCCTTTAAATGTTTACGATTCACGACCTAAACAGGCAAAAACTTCTAAATCTAAAAATATCTGTGCTTTATTCAAAGTCAAGCGTCATTCACTATGATGTTTAATGTAGACGTACATAATTGCCTTGTCTTTTTTTCTGAGCTTAAACTAGAACTATGAGAAAAAAAGTATACAGATTTCTTCCATCTCCATGTATTGTGAATAGAGATTCTTGTGATATTCTATTTCGAGCGATGCCTTTTCAGTTGGTTTCTATGGTCTGAAAGATGAAAAATAGCACGGTGGAATGAACAAGTATTCTCAGTAAAGTATGAAAGTATAAGGACGCGTTTTCTATGTGCAATGTCAAGTTGACCTCAGCGAAATATTTTTGGAAAGAGAAAAAAAAATCCTCATAGATTCTTACACGGTATTGAAAGTGCAATCAATTCGAAAAAAGTGGGATCATTCTTACCTGCTAAGATTTCATTAAAAAGACTTTTATCTGTGAAGGTTTTAGTAATAAGGACACAAAAAAGAACGCGACGACTTTGTTTTTATATGAGTAATGGAGAAAATGCCCGTAACAAAAAAAACTTTGCTTTATGAATAAAATGTCAATTAATACAGAAAATGATCGAGTCGATACATCAATATTCAAAACATTCTATCGTTGTTACAGTTTCTTTCAAAATGTATAATCACTCTAACAAAACGATCAATTTAAATAAAATCTCGATTCATCATAACTGATTACTCACACAATTCGTTCTCGCCATCAATATTTTACTTACACGGTATAAACAAACATATACAGAACAGCACAAATTTGTCAGTAGCTAGTGTAGTGAGCGAGAAATGAGACCGCACGTGCACTACTCTTACTAGAAAAAAATTTCTAAAGTGTTTTTTTCGTTGGCAATGATGGCGATGATGAAGAAGAAAAATATGCCATTGCCTTCGTCTCAGTTTTCTTCATACTATAAGAAGAGAAAGAGAATAATTGCAATTTGTCTATCGACTACGTCAAAGTAGAAGAACGAGCTCTTAAAAAATTATGAAATAGCTTAGCCTTCATCTGATGTTTGGTGACGAAGCAGACACAGAAGACTATCGAGCATTCTTGTTTTCATATAAAACTCTATCGACAAGCAGAAAACAAAATAAAATGATAAGATATCGCGTAGCCTACATAGCGTTTTTTCACGACGAGAAGGAAAAACAACAGAATGAGAAAAACACAAAGAAAAACAAATCGTTTTAGCTGTGCGCTTCGAGTAATCATGCATTAAAACTGCTCCAAGGAAAATACAGGACTCTTTCTGTGACAATAGTTTTTATTTTTGTATCTAGTTCTTTCTTTCATTATTGCTGACAGCGGCTGATAATTTTCTGCTCGATTCCTCAATGTCTTTATACTGTACTCTCATCATTCCGACTAACTAACTGCGATGTTGAAGAATAATAAACATAAGAAAGAATAGATAATGACAGCATTTCACTTAAATAAGCTCGAAACGTCAATGATTTGTTTTGCTTCTTGAGAATTCTTGATTATGTTATTGAATTTACACAGTCATTTTTCGAAAACTACCAAGTAATAATCGATGAAAAGTAATGTATTTTGTATACAAATAGTTAAACATAAGACGCTTCAAGTATTGTTCGAAAATTTATCACTGTGTGATGAATTCATCGCAAAAGAATTAAAAAAGACGATAACAATCAACTTGAGTCAGAAAAAGAGCGACCTGAGGGTGTGGGTGGGCGTAGACTAAGAGGAGAATTATACCCACGCGAACACTTCATAAGCACAGCGACACCCACACCCACGTCCACAACCATACTCACACCCATACCCCAAATTGATTGATATCGATTGAGAGAGAATCAATCTACTTTTGATAAAACAAGTTTTGTTCCATATTTGTTGGTGCTGTTGTTCGAGCTGAAAAATGAGACGATGGATAAATAATATCTTTGAATCGAAATCTTGGTAGAGTATATAAGAATGTTTCTTCCATCTCTTCATCGATAGAACACCATGGCAATACTAATAATGTCTGAAGTGTGGCCTGTGTCTTATGTCGGTTTTCGAAAGGGCGATGAAGCTGTTAGTGCTTTTGCCAACTCATTCCAAATAGCGAAATGGAACTAAAAGAAAAGAACAAGACCAAATGACATCAGTCCATGCACTGTCGAGAATATCTAAACTATCTCATCGCATTGTCTGCCTTAATCCCACATGATCAATCATTAATATTGTCTCTTCAAATGTAGTTCGATTTTTCATTTCCTTTACGCTAATTGGTGTAGAAGTAATTACTCGCGCGTCATTGTACAGGGTGTCTCATAATTATAAAACTCCCTACTAAATTTCCACAAAAATAAAGATTTCCTAAACTAAAGAGAGTTTCATTTACAATCTAATGTCACACCTACAGACACCTAATAGCAGTCCATCGTATACTATATTGGTTTCAATTTAGTTGATTACTATTAATGAATAAATTCAAAAAAATTTGAATCACTGTGCCTCACAAGTATAAGACCCCCCCCCTCCTCCACGATACAAAAATATTAAATTAATTCAAACTTTATCAACTCAAATGGTCCTTTTTAGGAACCATTCGAAAGAGGAGACATGCAGCTATACGCTATAAACAAATGAGATTGAACAAGACTACTTTAAGTTTTCTACGGTTCAAGAAATTAAATGATAGAAAATTTAAATCTCAAAAAGTCACAATGTATTTCGAGAAAAACAGTTTTTCCCTTCACTAAAGCAATGTAACTGAATTCGAAGGGTACCACTGAATAGAGAATGAAAAGTTGCATATACTACATGTATCTTCAGAAAAGTCTTGCAAGCAGTTAGTAATTGGGATAAAATATTTGAAATATGTATCTTCGATCAATTTTGTCAAAAGTGTGTGCTTTCGTCAGAAAATCCTCTGGTTCTATTTTAAAAAAGCAAGTAATTTCTTTTTCAAGGGCACCATTAGAAAGAGCGTCAAATTCTGTACAAGATGGACTGTTAACAAGTTTTCGTAAAACATTTTCAAAAAAAATTGAAATAGGGTTTCAACATATGAAAAAGCGAAATCTCATTTTTCTGAAGAAAAAAAATTCTATATAGAATTTTTTTTCTTCAGAAAAATGAGATTTCGCTTTTTCATATGTTGAAACCCTATTTCAATTTTTTTTGAAAATGTTTTACGAAAACTTGTTAACAGTCCATCTTGTACAGAATTTGACGCTCTTTCTAATGGTGCCCTTGAAAAAGAAATTACTTNAGGCCGGTAAGCCTAATACTAATCCAACAATGATTACACCAATTACATGAATGTAAAAGATGATAGCAAAGATACGATCTTTCCATCCACTGCTAAAGTCGATCTTCGGATCTTCATATGTAGGTGGAGGTTCATCCATGAGAAGCATAGTTCCATGGGCATGTTCAAGAGGAAAATGAGCTGCACCAGTATCATCTAGCATAGCTTTGTCTACCATCATATTTCAACTCAAATCTGAAACAAATGTGCGTAAAGAAAAGATTGTTTACGTTAATACGTGTTCATCATAAAAAAAACAATCCATAAGATTATTAATGAAGAGTTTTTCAACAACATTTGAGGAATTTCGAAAACGATTATTATCAGAAAAGTTCATTGAAAAATCTATTTTTTCTCAGTAGCCATATATAAATAAGGCGAGATATTGAAGACAACTAGAATAATATAGATAAGTGAAATTCTTGTTCGTGAGTCGGAGATAAAGATGGAATTTTTTTTCCTACAAATGTAATGTCATTGCAAAATAATGATCAAAGCAAAAAATAGAAGTCGTTAAAGATGATATATATTTATTCAAACAATCATATTCTTGAAATGTTTACGATTCACGACCTAAACAAAAAAAAAAACTTCTAAAATGCAAAAAAAGAATCTGCTTTATTCAATGTCAGATGTCATTCACAATGATGTTTAATTCAGACGTAAATAATTACCTCCTCTTCCTTTCTAAATTTAAACTAGAACTTTCAGAAAGAAAAGTATACAGTTGGCCTTCATCTTACATGTATTTTGAATAGAGATTCTTTTGATATTCTATTTCGAATGATGTCCTTTCAGTTGGTTTCCATGGTCTGAAAGATGAAAAATAGTACAGTGATATAGACAAATATTTCTAGCAAAGTATGAAAGTATAGGGACGTAATTTCTATGTTCAATGTCAAGTTGACCTCAGTGAAATATTTTTGCAAAGAGAAAAAAAAATCTTCATAGACTCTTATGTGGCATTGAAAGTGTAATTGATTCAAAAAAAGAGAAATCATTTTTACCTGCTAAGGTTCCATTTAAAAATCTGTCGTCTGTGAAGATTTTCGTAATAAGGACACAAAAAAACTTTATTTTTTGAATAAAATGTCACTTAATGCAGAGAAAATAATTGAGGCGATACATCAATATTCAAAACATTCTATCGTTGTTACGATTTCTTTTAAAATGTATAATCACTCTAACAGAACGATCAATTTAAATGAAATCTCGATTCATCATAACTGATTACTCACATAAGCTGTTCTCACCATCAATATTTTACTTACATGGTATAAACACACACACACACACAGAATAGAACAAATTTGTCAGTAACTAGTGAACAAGAAATGAGACTGCACGTGCGCTACTGTTACTAGAAAAAGAAAAGTATCTAAAGTGTTCTCTTTCGTTGGCAATGACGGCAATGATGAAGACAGAAAAATATTCCGTTGCGTTCGTCTCAGTTTTTTTCATACGATAAGAAGAGAAAGAGAATACTTGCGATTTTTCTATCGACCATATCAAAGTAGAAGAGCGTACTCAAAAAAATTATGAAGTAGCTTAGTCTTCATCTGATATTTGATGGTGATGCAGACACAGAAGACTATGGGGTATTCTTGTTTTCGTATAAAACTATCGACAAGCAGAGAAAAAAATAAAATCATAAGATGTCGCGTTGTGTACATAACGCATTTTCTCGACGAGAAGAAAAAATACAACAGAATGGGAAAAACACAAAGAAAAAATATCATTTTAGCTGCACGCTTCAAGTAATCATGCATTAAAACTGTTCCAAAGCAAAATACAGAGCGTTTTCTATGATAGTAGTTTCTATTTTTGTATCTAGTTCTTTGTTTCATTATTGCTGACAGCAGCTGATAACTTTCTGCTAGATTCCTCAAGGTCTTCATATTGTCCTCTCATTATTCCTACTAACTAACTGCAATGTTTAAGAATAATAAACAGAAAAAAGAATAGATAATGGAAGCATTTCGCTTAAATAAGCTCGAGACGTCAATAATGTGGTTTGCTTTCTAAGAATTCTTCAATATGTTATGGAATTTGAATAGTAATTTTTCGAAAACTGCTAAGTAATAATCGATGAAAAACATGTATTTTGTATACAAATAATTAAAGATAGGATGCTTCAGGTATTGTTCAAAAACTTATTACTATGTGATCGATTCATCGAAAAAGAATTATAAAATACGATAGCCGTCAATTTGAGTTAGAAAAAGTGTGACCTTGACAATACTAAGTTGCAGTTTTTCAAGCCCAAAACTCTTCATATTAAACATTAAAAAATTAACGAAATTACATAACGAGGATGCTCTTTTTAATTTTCATTTGATATTGTTATGGCGATTGAAAAAAAAATCTAGTTAATATCCAGAAAGTTCATGAAGAACTGCAAANATTTTTCTTTTGTTTTTGAAAAGTATTCTTCACGATTCGAAAGTACAATTCGAAGTTTTATAACTTGAGAAAGATCGACCAATTTTGACAAATAATTGAAGGAATCCAATGCATATTCAGATAGTTCGAGTTCGGCTATTCGACGAAAAAAGAATTGATTACATTCTTCATTCTGAAAACAAAAAAACAAAAACCATGTATATTTAGTTTGTTTTATTACAAATGTCATAACTATTTCTTATAGTTTTCTAACAACTTGCATACTTACAGAAACATTTTGAATTGTCTTAGAAATAACAACTAGACCGACAAAATTATATTCAAGTTCTGTTAAAATATCTGGTGTTGAACATAGAAGAATTTCTTCTTTTGGATAATCGTAGATACCATAGACAGGCCAATGTTTTTCGTTGAGCCAAAATGGTGTTCGAAATTGAGTTGCATTCATTTTAACAGCACGATAGTTTTGTGAACGAAAACTAAATTCGAATTGATTCAATGACAATAATTTTGTTCGAATCAATGTTTCCCATCTAAAACCATTGAATATAGCATCATCTGCACAACCTTCAAGTCTTAGATGAACAAGTGAAGGTGTTAGGTAAAGAAAGGATTCGATTTTATCCATTGAGAAGAAAAGTTGTTGCATTGTTAATGAGGTTAATTGTGTGTAGGTGTTCGAAAGATATTCATATTCACTATGAATATCTAAATTGAAATGACGTAGTACAATAGTTTGAAGATGGAGCAAATGACGAAGAATAGTACAAAAATCTTTGCGTGTACAATGATCAATTGTCAGATATTTCAAATTGGATTCTTTAGGCCACTGAAAATTGTCAATGTATAAAAAATTATTTGTACATGTCAATTTTCGTAAAGTTGATCGTGATATAGTCGATAATAGAAGATTTAAAATTGTATTTCGATGATTCGAAAAACTTGATTGTTCAATTGATAGTGAAATGAGTGAACAATGACTTGCATAATTTAGAATTTCATCTATATTATCATCATTGTTTGAAAAAACAGCTAGTGATCGAAGTCGAGTAAATTGATAGATGTCAAACAAAGAGAGAAACAAACCGATTTGACCTGGTGTCTCATCATCGTCAGATAAAAATAATGAGACAACATTGTTAGGACGAAGAATGTGGCACATATGATAAAAATCAGATTTCGAAATCCATCTCAAATCGACCACAAGTCTCTGATACGTGTTAACAATTGTTCGTAGTCGAGTACATACATAACCAAGTGAGAGTAGTATTGTATGTGTATCGAGATAGTCAAAAATATGTTGAAAAAGTTCGACCGGTAGAGTAAGAAATAATGATGAATTGTTGTTGGACATTGATATGTTTTTTCAGTTGATTGAACTAGAATGATTCTTATTCATTTATATATTTCACCAATGTATAGTTTCCAACTTCGACAAAAGAAAAGAATTCTTTCACAATGAGAATTTGCCATGTGTCATATGTGTACTCAAGCTTTTTCAGGAAGAAAAAACTTTCTTTCTTACACAAAGTGGGTATATTTGGCAAAAATGCATGTCGCTGATGATTGAACAATTTCAAATATGGGCGTGGTCATTCGTTACGGAATTTCAATTTTGAATCTTCTAAGATCCATTTTTTCGTAGTAACAGAAGTAAACGCTCTGAAATTTCTACTAGTAGTAGAGGCTCTCATGATTAACTATAGGTATGATTTCTTTTAATTTTTGTTGAAGTTCGTCAAAGCTATAGAAAAAATACTAGCCGTTACGGAATTTCAAT